ATTGGTTATGCGGTGATCCATCAGAGCTTCCTCCTCCTCCTGCCAACATCTCCACCTGTAACATCAGCGACTCCTCGGCCGTCATCACCTGGTTGGTGGCCGAGGGTCACTCCATCTCCAGAGCCATGATCCGCTACCAGCAGACGGAGCAGACGGAGTACAGTCAGCAGGTGGAGCTCAGCGTGCAGAACCAGACCAACATGCACTTCCAGCTCAGGGGTCTGAGGGCCGACAGCACCTACCAGCTGGAGCTCTGGAGCGTCAACAACATGGGAGAGAGTGTGGAGAGGCCACAGATCACCCTCAAGACGCTGCCGCCGCAGGAGAGCTCACGTGAGTCTGTGCGCTGAACCGCTGAGTGTTTCCTATGAGATGCATGTGGTGTGTTCATCCAGTGTCATCCCAAATCTTCCAGTCGGATTCACTACTGGAGTGAGAGTCCTCTGGTAAAGCCGTGTCATTTCAGCTTGAATATATTTTCTTTTTCTCTGCCTCAACTCCCATCTGTCTCTAATCGTCCAAGATGTTATGCTGTGTGTACTCTAACAGGGATATTAAAGGGATATTGTTCTGTCATCATTTACTCACTCGATTGCTATTCTAAACCTGTATAACTTTCTTCCTTCTGTAGAAAATTAAAGAAGATATTTTGGGAAATGTCTAGAAAACTTTCTTAAATATATTCTTTGGTGTTCCACAGAAGAAAGTCAGTCAGGGAGAGTAAATAATTACAGAAGCAGTGTTCATTAAGTCTTCACTAGTGCAGCTTCATAAAGGAGCTCATGTGAGCATCTGAACCATAGAACGAGGATGAGACACACTGAGAGAGTAACACTGCCCTCTACAGGCACGGATCACTTACTGTTTATAATGATGGAAGTCAGCTTAAATTTGTGGTAATTTCTCTTCTGCATGTGACAAGAACCAATGAAATACAGTGTCTCTCATAACCAGGTAAACACTTTATGTGGATATTTATAGTGGATATATATTGATCAAAATGAGCAATAATGTGCAGGAAGAAAGACAAACCTTTATTAAAGACGAACCATTATTAACATTTAACATTAACATTATTTAACACTTGACAGGCGAAGTTAATTTTCATAAATATTTATATTTGTTCAGCACTATAAAATGCTCCAAATGAGAGTGATTGTAAATTGTCTTTCAGAGCTGCACGGGTTCCAGGCTCACGGTAACATGCTGTATTATGCGATCCTGGGCTCCGCCGGCATGACGTGCATCACTATCCTGCTGGCCTTCTGCATCGTCCTGCAGCTCAAGAGAGCCTCTTTCCATAGTCACATGGTGCAGGCCTTCCACAACATAGCGGTGAGACACCGACCGAAGTTCAGCGTTCCCACTGACCGTATGCATTCATTTACAGATCTATCACAGTAAAAATCAGCTGAATTGAGTCACAGCTTTATCTCTATAGCAGGGTTAGGGTTCTCACACTAGCACTTGGCCGTACAGCAGAGTTTAGCTCCAGTTCAGAGTTTGGATCCCTCAGTAGCTGCTTCAGGTGTGTTGGAGCTGAACTCTCCTGTAAACATCGATCTCTCCTGTGCTCACAGAGAGAGGAGCCTGTGGTCCAGTTTAGCTCCGTGCCGCTGAACGTGCCCAAAAAAGTTCCCAACTCCAGCCAGTCTGTGGCCTATCCCACCCTGGAGTGGAGCGACATCAAGTTCCAGGATGTGATCGGAGAGGGAAACTTTGGGCAGGTGCTGAAAGCCCGCATTAAGAAAGACGGCCTGAGGATGGACGCGGCCATCAAGAGAATGAAAGGTGAGGTGAATTCAAAGAAAAGAGTCAGTATGTATGTTAGCAAGTGCTTGATTTCTCTCACAATGTCTCATTCTCTGTCTGAACCATAGAATATGCCTCTAAGGACGACCACAGAGACTTTGCCGGGGAACTCGAGGTCTTGTGTAAACTGGGTCATCATCCGAACATCATTAACCTTCTGGGAGCGTGTGAACACAGAGGTGTGCGCCTCAACTCCCACAGACGTTTGCTGATCTCCTGCAGATCTCCGATACGACGCGCCTGTGCTCGAGAGCTCATTCACACTGTCTGCTTCCACTGCAGGTTACCTGTATCTGGCCATTGAATACGCTCCTCACGGAAACCTGCTGGACTTCCTGCGTAAGAGCCGCGTGTTGGAGACGGACCCTGCCTTTGCCATCGCTAACAGCACCGCGTCCACGCTCTCCTCGCAGCAGTTACTGCACTTTGCTGCGGATGTGGCTCGTGGCATGGACTACCTGAGCCAGAAACAGGTGAGCGTGGAAAACACTGTCCAAAAAAATATGAAAAAGTTCTGCTGGAAATCCTCACAGATACCATTTCTCTCTAAGGATACTGCCTTTTCTAGTATCTTTGAGATTGTCTGTAATTAACTAATTATCTAGGATCAAGTTGTGTTTTTTTAATGAGAGGCTTAATAACAGCCAGTTTGCATCACGATTTCTTATTCTTAAGCAGCCCTTAATGTCGATCATGGATCAAATCGATCCACCATGACAAACAGCGAATATATCTGTGCTGTTTAATGCATTTGAGACGTTGTGTTTTCCTCAGTGCATAACTGATATGTCACAGGTATATTTTTCATCTCTAAATGTTAGAAAGTCATGCAAACATATCCATTTTGCTGTCAGGAGTGAACGAGCGCTGCTGCACGCATGCACGCTAAACAGACAGAGTGCAATCGAATAGGAGCGCAATAATTCAGAGTAAAATATAAATTTTGCTAGAAAATTTGTTTTTGGACATTAATTGTGTCTTTTGTAGAATTTTAAACCTACATATAAAGTGTATTTTTATGATAGCAGTAACTGTAAGTGGACTATTGTAATGGGTAAATCAAATGTAAGCTAGTAGGCTACAGTAACTGATGCCTCCTTCTATTCCGAATCTTGGAAACATGTGTTGTATGCGTTGAAAGTGAAACCTAATAAAACAGCGCGCATAAGAAAGCGATCGCTTCAGCAAATGCACGCGATCACAGATTGCACGCTTCCCAGCCGAAACAAACCCCCACGTGAAATTGAAATAATAACCTGTGATATAAGATTTTGGCCATATTGCCCGTCTAAATCATTCATCCCACACTATCAACAGGCGCGTCATGTAGGCTTACACTTCTTGTACTTCTTTTGGACACCACAAGGTGTCACTGTGGCCTCAAAGCTTACCCCTCGCCTACTCTGGCTCGATTGCTATTCCTGAGGAAAAACACGCCCTCCTCATTACCCTACTGACAAAGAAATGTAGAAATAAATAAATGTGGAAATAAATAAATACGTAAATAAATACATAAATGTGAAAATAAATAAAAGTGGAAATAAATAAATGTATAAATAAAAAAATAAAAAAAATAAATAAATGTGGAAAACAATGAAAAAATACATAAATAAGGAAATACAATTATAAATAATTATTTATTTTTGCTTTTTTACTTTTCTTTGTATATTTATTTATTTATTTATTTATTTATTTTAGCATTTTTACATTTCTTTGTACATTTATTTATTTCTAATTATGGCAGGATTGGCATTCCATAGTAAAGCAGCTCTAAAAGACAGCAGTGTCATTATTCAGATCAAGTCAGTTCAGTGTTGGTTCTTGAGTGATTTCCTGCATGCTGAAGCTGTGCTTGTTTCACGTCTCTCTCGACATTTTCTTTCTTCGGACAGAATGAAATCATTTACACTCTAGTTGATATGTGAGTTTATTTCAGTCACAGTACATAGAGGCGGTGTGGCGTATAGTGGCTCGAGCTCTCAGGACCGTTGACCGGAGGCTTGCTGGCTACAGCTTTGCACCACAGCACAATTAATTAACTTCAGATTAAGGCTGTAAAAACGTTTCTGAATAACACTCACAGAAACAATGACTATCTGCTTCTTCATGAATATTGTTCTTTTGCAGTTTATCCACAGAGATCTAGCAGCCAGAAACATCCTGGTGGGAGAAAGCTTTGTGGCAAAGATCGCTGATTTCGGCCTGTCCCGAGGTCAGGAGGTTTACGTGAAGAAGACCATGGTAATGATCCGAAGGCCGCTGTTCTTGTCATGCATTACTGAACATGCGTGATTTTAACATGCGTGTTTCTCTGCAGGGGCGTCTGCCAGTGAGATGGATGGCCATCGAATCTCTCAACTACAGCGTTTACACCACCAACAGTGACGTGTAAGAGTCTGTGTGTGTGAGTGTGTGTGTGTGAGTGTGTGTGCGCGCGTTTTTGTGACAAATGAGGACATAAATTGGTATAATGACAAAGGTATGACATAGGTATTACAAGGAGAAGGTGACTTTTCAGGACATTACCCCATGTCCCCACTTTTCAAAACATTATATAATCTGAAATAGCACAAAGTTTCCTGTAAGGGGTAGGTTTAGGGGTAGGGTTGGTCTAGGGCAATAGAATATA